CTTTGGAGGCAGGCTTAAAAGCATGTTTCCTGCTAAAATGACACAGATTTACATTTCCAAATCTCCTTGAACAGAGTTGCAGACAATCAGCCTTCATTACCTTGGAGGAAAAATGGTATCACCACTCAGACCATTAAAAATAGAACAAAAGGGTGCTTTTGTTGGACGACTGCTGCACAAACCTCTTCTCAGTTCTTTCCATCTTTGGGAATTGAACTGAATGTAGTATAGTCTAGAAGGGGGTTTTAATTGATTTGCTGTTACTGCAGTTTCTTGAAGAAATAGCACTTGTCACAAATGTAAACAAGAATAAATGTGATTCAGTTGCTATCCTAACATTAACCTCAGTATTTCATTCTGAAAGACAGGACAGCTCATAACTGATCATTTTGTTTTCTGATAACAGATGCTAAATCTTGGATAAATCACTCATACACCTTCTTAAATTAATATCTCAAAAGCATGTCAAAATGAAAAAAAAATAATTTCATGTTTTGCAGGGCTTTCATGAAGGGCTTTGACATATATATATAGATATTTATTAATTTTCGAGAGCTACCATTTTTATAAGGTATTTAATTGAATCAAGTCATCTCCTCCAAGGCCATAATTACCTTTGAGAGAGAAAAACGTTCAGAGATGCATCAGTATTCAAGGCACGGGCGGAATAGTAAATCTTGTGATAGCGGGTATTATTTCCACCTCCACATTAGGCCATACAGACTGAATCCACATGGGAAGCTCCCTTTCAAACGAATCTCAGGCCTCTCTCTTAACACACAGACCACGATGGCTGCACAATTGAGTTCTGAACAATCTGCAGACTGTTTTGGGAACCAGCATTACCTTTTTAGCACAGCAGCTAAAATATCTATTCAGGGCATTGAAGCATGACAAGCTCTCTCCTGTTTTCAATCTTTACTCCTCCAGTTATCTCTGACCATTTAATTCTTTCATAGCTTATGGGAATCATAAATCATTAAGCAGTGATTTTTATTTTATTTTTAATATATACTTGTACAAGGTAAGCAGTCAAAATCCTTCTCATAACCAGTGAAGCTCATGCTGGGTAGTAGATTATACTCTCATGTTTTTCTTGTTAAAAACTGCATCTTAAATCACACCACAATATGGTCTTCTGCAGGACTAAGTACTTAGGAGTATTGTGACTTGTGTCCTACAGCCCTCATCTAAAAATTGTGTAATTTTCGTCTTATCTTTTGCAGTCTATAATCCTTCCCCTTTACTAAGGCTCTTTTTTAATGTATTGCATATGACAAGTCACTCAACATACGATAAATTCTTCTACTATGAATTAATAGCTGAAAAGTAGTATTAGTGCATGCCAGGAGGTATCCAACATACATTAGTGGCATTCCCTGCCACAGCCCCATACCAAATTCAAGGCTAGGAGAAGTGCTCTTTAATATTTCATCCTCAAGCTGGAGGTGTGTTCTCTGGCTGCCCAATTTCCTCTACTTGATTTTATGTCAGGAAGTGAAATTACATTCCCACCAGCTGTTCCCCAGTCAGCGCCTGTGTCTCTCTCCTTTCCTTCTTCTGAAGGATTTATCTTTTATACACCACTCACACAGGACTGGGGAACAGTCATAAAGCTTGGATTTGAATCTGAACATCCATTCCTGCAAATCTGGGAATGTATCCTGGCACAGGGTGACCAATGCCCAAGACCCCAGACTTTTTCCTCTGTTTACAGAGGAATGTACAGTGAAAAATTAGGGAAAAATCTATCAGTTTTATACTGTAGTCAGGGAAAGATGCATGGACAAATATGGTACCTTGCAGAAATGTTCTCATCATCCCTGAGCTAACGTTGTAGCACACAGGTTTTTCTATTTGGATGATAGGACAAGGGTGCTTTTTTCCTTGTTGGATTTTGGACAATTTTCTTTGTATTCTTTGTTAGACTTGTCAACATCGATTCAGTGATATTCACTTCATATTGGACAACAGGAATTACTCTTCCATCCCTCTAACCAGAGACAAAGAAAAAATACTTGATCTATTTATCAATGTCCTACAAGAAACCTTTCTTATACCTTGGTTATATTACTCAAATGACTGTTCATAAGAAGGTAAGTAGTGTGTGATTATAAATTGAAGTTTTCATGTAAATATCAATAAGAAGCAGCAGCCTACACAAGAAGGGTAGAATGACCTTCCAAGCAACTTAGTAGAGGATATACACCTTCTTCTTATGTTACCTATAATTTTATCAACAAAAAGTTTATAATTTAGCAGAGAAATCTGGTATTCTATTTAACTACATCCTTGCTGTTATCCTGTTACCTTTTTATAGTACGGAGGTGTCTAAGGGAGTCAAGACAACTATTTCCTGCCATACAGTATTGGACTCTTGCTTTAAATGCAAATTATGTCATGCAAATATCCACCTCCTGATTTTAGTGTTTTGTATAAAATTAACTGAGACCGGGAAAGTCACACCAGCTGTGATTCAGCCACAGGGCTCGCAGCCCACCAGCCTGCCACACTCACATTCGCCCCTCTGAACCTGAAGCAGCCCTCCCAGCTCGTCGAGGGGGCAGATTTGGTGGGTGTGCAAGTAGCCAAGCCCTGTTGAGAGTGACAGAAGCACTTGGGAGAGCCCTCCGAGGTCTCCTCTCCCCACCACTCCTATGGTGCACCCTCCATGAGCTATCTGGCAAAGCCATCACATTTTCCCTCCTCCCCACTTCCTACGCCTTACAAAGGAGAGAGGAAGGATTTGGCGAGCCTTAGCTGGACCCTGGGGCTCATTCGAAGTGCTGAGGTTGCTGCCAACACCATGTTCTGGTCACAGGATTTGCTGGGTGAGGTGATACTCAGGACTCTCCATGTCATCGTCCAGAAGAGGTGCTGAGAGGTGTAAAGGCTGCAAAGATGTGATCTCTGCACCACCACACAGCAAAAGGGCCACACAGTGCTTTCTCTTTGTAGCCAAGGGCAGTAATCTCAGCTGGTAATGACTTTAAATTAAATTGAAATCTCCAAATTTAACTGCACTGTGATGTCTGCGTGCCCCACTGTGTCCACATCATAAGGCTCCAAGACAAATAAAGTGAAAAGATTCAAAAGCTGGGCTTCAGGCCAGTAAACACCACTGCAGTTTAACTATATTGCAGATGAGGCAACTTGAATTGCTTTTAACTTCCAAACAGTGTGGGATGTTGCAATTACACAGCTAATCTCTGTAAAGGGTTTTCATCTACAATTTCAGCCTGTTAGAGATACTTAATAGTTCTTGAGCTATTTAATGAAACATGGTTCAAAACTCTTTGTATACTTTGTTGACATTTCATGCTTTGAGTCTGACATAACACCATGTATTCTACAGAAAGAAAAAAAAAACCCACACCACAATATCCTTCAATAATAATCATCAAAATCCCTTTACTACAAACTTATCCATTAGCCTAAAAAATGTGACAGAACAGTCGTGTCATCACTTGAAAGCTACTGAATGCAGCGAGAGTTAATTCTACCAAACACACCCGAAGTGGTGACTTACGGAACTCATAGATTTTTACCCAGGCTTTGCATTGCAGTGAACCCTCCCTGATAACAAGCAAAGAAATCCTTCTGAAACAGCATGCTGCAAGTCAGCAGCTGCCAGAAACTGTCACACCTCTACCACCAGTACTTAGCAGGCAACAAATTGAATATTTCATGTGGTCAGCTAGCACCAGTATGCCTGCCTTGTTAAATGGCTTTGTTAAAAGTCTTTTGTTGCATGGTCTGATGGCAGGAGGACAAACAACGAAGATTCGTACTTCAAGCTAGTTAGGTGCTTCATCTCTCAGCAAATTCAGTCGGGTCTGGTGCTCCAGAATCTGCTGGAGAAGGATTTGAAGGACCAAAGCTATGACCTTCCCCTCTCTGTGGGCTCCGTAGGGAGTTTAGTTTCTTTAGGATGGTCACGTATGTTGGGAATCATTAGTGAGACCCTTCCTTCCCCCTCAAGACAAACTGAGATCACAGACATATTTCTGACTGGAAAAACAAACAAATGACCCAAACTGAGGTTAGTATTTCTTGCAAGCAATATAAGCAAATTAGATAACTCCTATCATCACTGACATTAGTGAGGTAGGGGAGCATCTCAGAGTACTATACATGCATTCACATGTAAGCTTATGTAAGAATACACTTTAAAAAGACTTTCCCATGCTGGCTTTTCAACAAACAAAGTAATTAGTTTAACATGACAGAATTTATATTGTTTTCTTTAAGCTTAGTCTCTATCACATGAATAAATGTTCGGGCAGCTGTTTTGTCTGCCTGATATTTTCCCAACCTCCTTCAATATTCCTGTTGTCACTGCTTCTAAGATTTCTTTGTTGTTCGTTTTTCTCTTTTAATCCAGGACGCAGTCAGTTCTCAGCTGATAACGCAACTCTCTGAAGAGAGCAATCCTTCTTCATAAGTCTGGCTGAGGCCAAAAATAGCTCTGTCAGCTTCTGACAGGCTGAACTTAGCCAAGTGAAATGTTTTAACATTTTATCATCTTAATGAACAGGCTTATTTATAATGTAGACAACTTTACTGTCATTGTATGCAGACTTCTGAAGAGATTATGGAATGCATTTTGTTTGGGGAATAGAGAATATATTAATATTATTTTTTTTTGACCAACAGGCACTTGTTTTAGACACTGTAAACAATTTTAAGACAAAATAGCCTATTTGACATAAAGGAGTGACTTAATGGCAACATCTATAATTATGAAAAAAAAATGAAGAAAGGAACCTTACAATGATAAATAACAAATCTCTGAATGAGAAATTTGCAATATGCACAAGTATGATTAAAAAAAAAATACACACAACTACAACACTTTAAAATATTACTATTAATGCAATACTGGAAATAATTATGTCGACTAAGTATCTACAGATACTTTTAGGACTTGGGGGGAGGGAATAAAATTACAAAATAAAAAGTCTATCAGAAAAAAAGAGCGTGGGTTAACAATTGCTTACCCTCTTTTCTGCTACCTCATCCTCTCCTGTAGACTCTTTGCCATCATGTGCATCTCTCAGGGTTGGCATATGTTTTTTGTGTGCTGGCTCTCTGTTTAAAGTTGTATATCCTATGTGTTCATAAATTGGATTTATTGTCATCTTGGCAATGTATTCTGCTGCCTTGGTTTCAATATAAAGAGTAATCAATCCATCTGTCACCAGGTCATGGATGGACTCAAAACGTTTCTCCCCAACAAAGTGCTTTCCATCGTAGTAGAGTCTGAAGTTTCTGGTTTGACTTCCAAATCTGCCTCAATGAAATGGGAAAGTATTTTTTTTTAAAGAACAGTAAGCAAGAATAAGAAAGAGTAATCAAGCCTTTGCAAACAAATAAAAAAAACCCACAACTTTATCACTTGAAGCTGCGACTATGCCCTGTGTTCAGTCCAGACGCGACTGAAAAACTCAACTACCACTTAGCACAGATAGGAAGGAGAGATTAACAGCCACAGACAGATAGCCAAATCAGTGACTGTCCCAGAAGGAGCTATTTGTTCTCGCATTCTTTTAGCCTCTCTATTATTCTGTGGAAAAACTGAAAATTACTTCACACTCTTCATGGCTTTTTTTAGTACTTTACTACTGCATCGCTGTAGTTAATTTGCCTGGCTCTGATATGAAGAGTTCTCATAACAGAGTCCTCTATTACAGCTGATCAATACGGAGTTTTGATGCAGTCTCAGACCTCTGCACCCCTGCTTTCTTGCAGGAAGAGGCCATTCAGCGCTCAGCTCAGCTTTGGTGCCAACAATTACACTGAAGCAGAACTGCTGCCAGCAGTGGAGCAGCACAGGACAAAATGGCACAAGGGCAAGCATTCTTTATTCCTGGCTGAAGGCCAAGGACTAACTCTTCAAGCTTTGTACAAAAGTCCTTCTGTGTTATGGTTGTTAAGTCTTGAGCTTCAAGCAAATCTTTGTAACATACAGGACATGTAACGCATAAGCTATCTGATGTTAGCAACTCTGCAGACTGGGTGGAACAGAATTTTGATAGTCTTTAGGCAACCGTAAGCAAGAACACCAATGCTACCTGAACATTAGCACCTTTTCAAACCCTACTTTGAACCTGTAACAATTTGCTGCCTGAAAGCAATCTCAACTTGTGAGAACACACCAGTGCTTGCGCTCACTTGGCAATAACCAGCGCATTTCCTGCAGAGAAGACAGAGGCAAGGAGCTGCCTTCACAGCTCGCTTCTGGGTCACTCCTTGGTCAGAGAGCAGCAAGGCTGGCTCAAGGCATCAGGACACTTTGTGAGGTCAGATCAGCCAAATGTATGTTAAAAACTGAATTTGAAAGGATTGATTATTTTTACTTCACAATCAAAAACTTCATAGGAGATGTGAAGGAATAAAATAATATGGTGCTTTGCTAAAGTGATTTCTTTTCCATGGGGCACTGCCCAATAGCAGAAAGCATGTTATTAGACCTTGCCTCAGGTGAAATACATGCATTCTTCCTGCAAATATGGGCAAAATCATTTGTCTTGGGATGTATATTTTTCCTCTGTTTTTCAGAAATGCCAAAGCAAACCATCCCCCCTACCAATAACCTGACAGCCACTGTAATTTTGGGAGCTGCTATTTTTAAAGAAAACTGAAATGTGAAGCAACACACTCCTGGGGGGCTCTCAGGAATCCACATCTGGCTCACTAACGAAAGAGGACACGATGTGTAGAAACTGAAGGGGCATTTTTTTTGAAATGAATTGGTACTTGTATTCACATTTTTAAGCCACACAAATTAGAAGTTCACTGAATCAAACTGAAAAAAAAATCAACAACAACAAAAAAACAAAAAATGAAAAAAAGCACTTTTACCCAATGCTGATTTGATCACAAGTTGTAATCCAGAGTGAACACAAGTCATTAAGGGAGTAGAAAGGTAGTGTCCTAACTTACAGCCTAAGTGGTAGGAACTCCTACCTACCCCTCCTGCTCTAAGTTAGGACAAATAAGTAAGGAACTAGGCTATACTAGATTTCACAAGTGGTATGGCAACATAATTAATACAGCAATGTAAATACTTCACTGTACAAAGTGGCAAAAACTAGTCAACTTAGTATGTGGCAAACAAGTTTTCACCATGAGCCATATTCCTTGCACGTCCTCCACTGTCAGTAAAGTCAATATGAGCTAAGAGTGCTCAGTACCTCACAGTGCCAAAGTGAGCAACCTTCACTGCATCCTGCCAAAGTCAGTGGGAACATGCACACAGAGAACATACAACGTTAAAATTTGACAAGAAAAACAGAGTGAGTCTGAAGGTGAAAAATAATATATCTAAATGATAACATGCAATACAGTGATTTTTATTAGGAGGTGCATCAGGTGAATTGCTGTTCTTATCGGTAACATATGCTCTGACAGTACTTACAGCAGTTTTATAGAAGTAGAAGGTCACTTATTATTCTTAGCTTTCTCTAAGAGAAAGTATTACACTAATCTTATCAAGGGAAGATAAGGCACAGAAAAGCTCCTCAGGGTGTATCACTACACACGTTGTCTTGATTTCAATAACATCCTTCCAGAGTCTAAAACAAAGTTCTGAAGAACAAGATGGCCAAATGCAGAGAAACACCAAAAGTTTATCCTCTTCCCATGAGGGTCAGAAGGTGGTCCTACCCCAGCAGGTTTTACATTGTACATCCATTCAGACTGCTGCCCATAAAGCAGGACAGTTATTACAAGGAATAGGATTCCCAAAAGAACATCATCTTTATCCCACCACTCCTGACCCCACATTTCAACAAATGTATCTCATAGAAAACATCCCACAGTTTTAATTCTTTAACAGCACCCCATGCCTAAACTCATCCTGTAACCTCATACTGAAACTTCTTCCTACACGGATCTAGGGAACTGAACATCAATTTCTTTCTGTACATGTGGCCTTCTGAAGGCCACATTCAATGTTCTCAGTTTAAAATACATTAAGATAATTTAACAATTAGTGTTTAAAGGAAAGTATTTAGACAAACAAGTTATTCTAGATCAGTGCCATAATCACTTGGAAAAGGTGCTGCAAGGGGTGAAAATTGAATGGTTTGCCTTTATCTGTTTTTCCATTTGTTCCAGATCGAACCACTTTCTCTCTATTCATTCCTTATTGGATATGTTCCGGGGAAACTTATTGTTTTTCAAATTGAGTGGTATTAGCAACAAGCAAGAAAAAAACCTCACACAAATCAATGCACCAACAATCTCTTACAGAGATTGTACCATCAATACCATGTCTAATAATCCTCCATTTTATTTCTTTCAAACTCATTTAAATTTCTGGCCACACAATGATACTATTTTGATCAAATTACAATATAAATGCAAACCTACACATCCATTTGCAAATAATCGATTCAAATCTAATCTTCAGTCCCTTCAGTATTATTTAATATTATGGTTTAAACTTTTCCATTAGCAAGAATACTTCCTTATGTTTACCTTCTATAACATTACTGCAGCCTAGCTAATTATACATCACCGTGGAAACTAAGTAGAGCCAATATTTGATATTTCAACTTCCTGATAGTCTCTTCCTAGAGGCAAGCATTAGTACCAGCCGTTTTTTGTTTAAGAAATAGAAAACAGGGCACAGATAATGTATGTTCTCTTTTGGTTTAAAAAGGGGAACATTAGATGTTTTTCCAAGAAAAAGAGATAGACCTCTGACCCGTCAAACAGTCTCATTGTGTCTATTGTCCATTTGTTTGCAAGCAGCAGGGCTACAGATAAAAGACTTTTCTTATTGCAAGTTGTCTGAAAAGCAATCACTCTGTCTAGTCCCCTTGGTTGCCAGTGGGGCAGAGTGGATAACAACGTGGGAAAACGGATTAAATGGTAGAGCAAATGTGGGTAGTAATAAAGGACTGGGGAGCTGAATTAGGTATCATAGCATGAGAAAGACGGGCTTCAGACTCTGCCACCTACTCTGTATGCAGCATTCATTGATCAAACAAAAGGAAGAAGTGAAGGACTGAGAGCCCATCCGCACTTTCTTACCGTTTAAGAAGATGGATTTTACAGTCCAAATAAAGACTTGTACAGTAGCTATTCACCTCTTTCACAGGCTATTTTATGATCAGGAGAGTATCTAGCCACAACCTAAAGACAAAGGCATTATGTAAAACGCAAAGCTGCTGTGAGACCACTAAGTTAACACCCCACAGGGCTACTCATATCCTCCTAAGTTGTGAGCATCTTTGTACTTGGAGCTGGGAAATATTAAGATATGTACACGTGCCTGAAGGTCACTTGGGTTTCATCTTCCCTTGGAGAAAAAGTGTCTTAACACACTTTGAGGCCAGAAGGTAGAAGTCTCGCTTAAAATTAGGTGTCAGAATTTCATCTGTAACTTCTGAAAACTCTCACCCAATCCGTAAGGCTAGAGTCTTGACACTCCATAAAAAGCTACAGAAATGTAAGCAATGTTGCAACCAGGAACGTCTCCTGATCATGGCGTGTCCACACAAAAGAAAACAAATGATCCCACAGATCCTCTTTTGGCCATTTTCCTCGTCAAAGAAGTGCAAGTTTTGCATGCTGCCAAAATCTACTGTTACCCCAGAAGTTCTCTGACTCCTGAGAGAAGCCTATTTTTGGTTTTATTTGTTAATGATTTCTTATTAATTGGCAATATTTCTGAGGATGACCAGAGGACGCTGGGACTTGCCATCTTCCCAGGGTACCTGCCTGAGAAACGGCACCTCCTCCAAAACCTGAAAGTCAGCAGTAGCTTGCAAGAACACCAGATGTGTAAATGAAATATGTTAATTCTTAAAAGTAAAGGTGCATTTTATAAAACGTGGACACAAAAAATCCCCATTCTCTGATAAAATTGGGAAAAGTGGCAGAGTACTGTGGCCAGAGAGAATTTTCCTGTGCCATTTGGAAGTGCAGTATTTACTGACTGACTTAAGTATGGCTTGATGAATATTAATTAGGTGTAAAGTTATCCGTAAAACCTCACCAGACCCATGGGCTGGGTGAATGTATGATAATTAAGTTTAACCTGGAAAAAAAAAAGTGGCATCCTTCAGAAAAAAAATAAAAATCTCAGAGTTGGAACTGAAACGTGGCAACCCCACGCCAATATAGACACAACCTCCAACTCACTTGATCAGGTAAAAAAAAAAAAAAAATCTGAGCTGGTGCTGCATCATTGACAGTAGTCTCCCAGCAGCCTCTCTCAACTGAGACCAAAGGCTGTTTCACTGCATCATTCCCCAGACTTCCTCGTCCAAAAGGGAAACAATATCGTGCAAAGAGAATGCTGCAAACAGCAGGCAGGGAGGACCAGAGCAATGGCACCTTTGTGTAGATGATGAGCAGTGTCAGGGACAACACAAGGGAGAGGCAACTGCTGTAGGGAAACAGCTGCTGAGAACAATGAATGCTGGAAAGATTATCAACCCTTGGCACTGTAGTGGTGTGCTTTGTAAATAAATCTAATAAAATTAAGAGAAAAAAAAATGTTTTGTCTCAATGTCTTATCTTTAACAGCTGATTTTAACCATCTCAAATTGTGAACAAAAGTCAGCTGATCAATAAATATGCAGTAAGACCACTTAGCACTTTGGATCACACAATGTTTCTGATGAGTGATAGATCATTTGAAAATAACATTTGGTTTTGAAATGAAGCTCCTGTATGATACATTCTTAGTACTGTGCTTGCATGCCCTATTCTACTTAAACTCAATAGGAAGTCCCTGGGATTGCTGTGATGATTGGATCAGAATCAATACCAATATTTTGGGTAATGTTTACTGCTTTCTGTACCTGACAAAACCTTGGAGTTTCCTGGGAAAAGAATCATTGTGGTTAATGATTAAGACACGTTTAAGCCTCTTTCTATATATACATACATGGGAAAGCAGTAAGAGCCTAATATTTTCTCTTTAAAAGGAAGTATTACTTTAGAAACCTGTTGACATGCATGGAATAAACACTTTCTGGAAACGTTACTAGTGGGAACGTTAGCAACTTTCACAGCTTCACATTAAGCAGATAGTTTTGTTCCTTTAGAGAACATTTTTCAAAATTTTTGTTGTGAATTAATCCTACAGCATGACTCCATGCTACTGAGATCTTTTGTATTCCTTTAAAGCAGAACTGGGCTTTAATTTTTCTAAGCTAAGCTATCAACTCTCACCACTGTCTGCTCAGTAAATTCTAAATGTGCATGCAAATTTTATGCATACCGAGTATAACATTCTTACTGTAGGTTATACCCAATGTTTTTTTTTTCTGGTAAATTTAGAAGTAGAACAACATTGGGTATAGAATGGAAATTTCACTGTAATCATTACAACTGAGAGAGAACTGCCACAACATAATGCTCAAACACAATCATTTTGGTTTGATTTACAATGCTTTTTCCTATGAGGCTTAAGTTACTCATGAGCACCTTAATTCTTTTTGCTGGTACTGATGCTCTCATACTAAAAGTAACTTGCTTTTAATTGATCTTGATAAGACAATATTAATATTTTTATTCAATATATCAAGAAAACCTGAGTGCAAGATATCAAGTGAAAACCCAAAGAAATGTCATTATCATTAAATAGCTTTTCAAGTGCAATTAACTTACCAATACTTATGCCATTCTGTTACCCTCCATTATCTGCTAGGATGAAAAAAAGACTACACTTTTCTGGAGAGGGGAGTGGAGAAATATTGCTTTTTTATTGTTCCTACATTGTTTTTATCTCTAAATATAAACTTCATAGGATATTATTCAAGAACTTGAAGTTTAAATAAAAAAAAAAAAAAAAGGAGGAGGGGATTATTTTTAAGTTTCCTTTAGATTAAAAATAACTACAGGAAGATTTATTTTCCAGAGAGATTTTGTCAAATCTGATTTGTCTTCAACCACTGTTGATCCTAACCTTCAGAGCAGGCTTCCTCAACTTACTTAAAGCTATTACACTATTTGTAACTTAATGAACAGGCATAAATATACAAAATGAAAAGTTCACAAAGATTTCTAAAAGGCAAAAAAGGTGAAGCTTTCTTATTGTCATGTGAAACAATGAAACCTATCAAACATGTTTATATGTATGATAATAAAAGATTCACCAATCCAACAAACTATTAACTGTACAGTCACTTAAACACAACTAAAAAGCCATAGGTGACTCACTGGCAGCAACAAGTACGATTACTCCTAGGCTAAAAATCTCCCTTGAAGCTCTTCTGACACCTATTGCAACGTCTGATGGCTCACAAGACAAAAAATCATTTGTGGAGAAGACTTGTGAAGACTGGACTGTACAGAAAATAAAAGGCGTTTAAGTCCTAAAATAGAATTTTTTCATCTACAGATTTCAGCGCCTGCTGCCTCCATTTTCCCACAAAGAAATGGAGTGGTTAAATGAATGGACCACAGTGACAGGTGGGTCACCAACATCACAGCACAGCCTCCCTGGTTCTCACATGTGCAGTAACGTGCTGTTAGACGTGCCCAACCCATGGTGCACACATGTAACCACTGGTACAACCAGGCAACAAAGAGAACTTGGTCAGAGTCAGGAACTAGTTCTCTGATTTGTAAGGGCACAACAGTGCACAGAGGGAGTCAGCATATGGGGCACTGACTGCATACTGCATTTGTAATGTGACATCTGCATACAGTGCACTGCACATACTGCAAAGAATTTAGGACATTACGTGCTTGACAGTTGTTCAAAGGAGTATAAATTGCCCTGCACAGTAGCTGTTAAAAATAAAATGCTTTATACTGGGAAATCTTTTCAAATAAAGTTTCATTTTAATACACCAGACTAAAATCTGTAAACTTTTTTATGGGAATGTGTTCAATGTTGTGCTATTTTCAAAACAGCATTGTGTTGCTAATGAAAAAAAATTAACTGCTCTACATAGGCAACTCCCCTTAATGTCTCTTAACCATGACTACATAAATAAATGATAGAAGAATAGTTTAATTACTATATTGCAGCATTTCCCCATCTATAAGGATTTAGTTCTCTTAGGGTGATGCCTGATCTGCCATTAAAATGCTTTGTGAATTAACAGTGGGAGAGAACAGATGATAAAAACTCATTGTAAAATAATATTCCCACTAAAATTATGTATCATACCATGGATTTTTCATTTTAATAGGACTCAGTGAAACAGAATAACTTTAAAGATTCCATCCAGCTGGTACCCTAACTGTTTTAAAATGTATGTAATACATACAAACAAATACTTGTGCATACCTAGTTTGTGTGTTTAGGTATTGCCTGAAATAACAGAAATTTCTGGGCCACTAGTAGATCAGACCAACAACTTTTCTATTATTACATTCTGGTTTTCTAGAATATAATTTCTTCCTTGGCACAACTGCAGCAGTAAGTGGGGCAGACCGTGATTTATTACTGAAACTGTTAGACTCCATTTACTCAAGTTATAAAAGAAAAAAAAAGCTTGATGCTCTTCCTAGCACCTATGAAAACAGGACGAACTACACTAAACTCAGCAAAGCATAAAAGAGGGAAAAGGAAGAGGAAAAGTGGGACAGAATGTTTATTGCTGTCAGTTCTTTTGGTGTTTGAATAATTCATAAATGTTTTGATGAAAACAATTATGAGATTAAATGACAATATGAGGCTATTGTGTGTTATTTTGAAAACCTATTTCTAAAGCATCCATAGTATCTACAGCTGGAAGACTTTTTATGTTTACTGATGAGGCACAGGAAAAAAGTTGTTTCTCAAAGCACAAAGGTTTATAAATATGGATTTCAAAAGCACACAAAAGAAGAGGCCAACCAAAGGACTAACTTGAAGATAGGCTTCTATCACTTTCTAAGAGCAGTAGAGCAAAAAGACACTCCAGTAGAACCTGTGGATGACAGAAAAGAAATGCATCCTTTTGAAAGAGAAGGAATGGGGGAAAGGAGGATCAAGCAGTGTATGCTATGTACACATATACATAACTTAATTTTCAACCAATTGCATTATAATTTGACATTTTTGCTTCAAGTCTGATAGCACCCAGAAGCTTCAGCCTGGGCAGACCCTAAGAACAGCACAGTACAATACAGGTTCTTGCTCAGGAGCTCTGACTGAGGATGGTCTGAGAGATGGGGCACAACTTTCCAGTTCTTTGTCTAGGCTATTTTTAAGAGACCCTAGGCTGATGTACTGAACAAACCTGTGAGACAACACAGGGAAGAAAATACTCTCCCTAATGGAGAAGCAAGTAAAGCACGGAGAACAGAAAAGCTGTGAGCTACGTCATATGTGAAGCCAAGAAGTGAACCCAGACCTGAGCTCCATGATGGTGCCTCACCACAAACCCAAGTGCCTTCGCTGTACACCAGGTTACAATAGATCTTTGTGGCTCAGCAGAAGCTACAGTCAGAGGTGAAGGACATGGCATAAAATGAACATGAGTTACATGCACTGAATGCAGGCAGCTCTTGGACAAGCTACCAAAAAGTTCACACTGCTACCAAAGCAGAGAATATTCCTCTGAGAAGTACTGAACTTACACGAGCGGGAGAAAGTCTGCAGCAAGCTGAATTGCCAAAGATAAATTAGACACTCTAGCCAAAAGAAAACAGAGCTGACAACAACAACAGATGGGAAGAGGAGGGAAGGAGAACAGGAACACAGCAAGAAGACATGAACCATAAGGAAAAAAGCATTCTAGTCTGTGGGAAGGCCTAGGTAACCAGTTAATTACTCATTAAGGTTAGTAGCTATTTATTATTATTCTAAATACTTAAGCGAAGACATCTCGGTAGTGCCCAGCTGCAGTTACCTAAGACAGCACGCAGGACAGCTCTGTTATTTACTGGTAGTTGAACATTCCACTTTACTGACAAAGTAATAGAGTATATTATTCAGTACAAAATTTTATATAGAAAAATAAACTTATTTTACATGGAATGTCATTTAAATAGAGGTCCAATTGTTTTATTTCAGAGCATAAAAGCAAGCTCCAAAATTTATCAGCATGCTCCTTTCCCTGGGGCAAGCTCTAGCTCATACGATGTTTCCAGCCAACAGGATGACAGCTTTAGTTTCAGTAGAATTTAAGCCTTCATAAAAGAAATATTTGGCTCTTCACAAGGAAGAAAAAAAAGCCCAGCATATCAGCTGGCATACCTGCTATGTTAGCCTATTAAAATAGCTTTAAGCATGAACCGTTTCCTCCATCTAAAAGAAGCTTTAGATACCTTAGTGGCCAATTTTTGAAACACTCACCTGAATTCTGTGCCTATGGAAGTGTGACGGCCTAAGCCTCCGGGAGAAAGCAGAGTCCTTCCCCGAGAGCTTCAGCCTGCCACAGAGGAAGAAGCACTCTTTCATCATTTCACACAGAATAGACAAAACTGATTAAAATGGGCCAGGCTGAAACAAGCATAGCCCACAGATATGTTTGGTCAGGTTTTGGAGCAACACTACTTAGCCCAGCTAAGCTTTAAGGTTGTGCGTATGCATGCGTGTGTATATACACACAGACAGTTATGCGGACATAGATTCCCACGTTTCTCAGCTGGGGACCAAGAAATTTTGTGTAAATATCCTAGAAAGGTTCCTAGAAACTGGATTTACCCCTTGCTACTGCCAATCAATGCCTGGTGCAGAGCTGCAAATTGGGTAAAAAACATACAGTGATAGAAGGATGTGCAAAGTTTAGTGTTGAAAAAGGTCTTTGTATTTTTTTTCCTACCAAGTGACATAATGTCAGAATACTGTTACTAAGGGTGAAGGGATGCAGTCAGCTACTGCTTTGCTGGCTTCCCTCTCTCAGACAACTTAGAGATCATCTCTGGATTCAGGATAAGGTATGACCAAATTTTGCTTCATTGATAATTAAAAATAAATAAATAACGTAATTCAACTATTGACAATGAAAGTGGTTTCAAACATTTCTCTTTTTCCCATTTCTCTCCTGTGTCCCAGCGTGTACAACTAGGCTCCCTAACAGAATGCAGGCACGCAGTTTTGACCTCTGAAGTCAAGAAGCCTTTTGCAGATGTTGAATTTTAGATGGGTAAGTAATCCCAGGGCAATCAGTGCATATTCTGGAAGAGAACTGCATACGTGTCCCAAAAGAGCCCACTGAAAATGGACAGCATTCAGCTATCAAAGCAACTGTCCTCTGAAATTAAAAAGGTTCATTTGCAGCATTATACTCTAAGAGCCCACCAATTAGGACTCCTTTTAAAATATTAGTGGCTAGTTTCTTAATGCAATTTCATAATTTAGGAAGAGAGGGAAAAATGTATCAATTTCTTGCACAATACATGCCGTTGGTTGACTAAAATAAGGATTACTAATTTTTGACATTTATTTTGCCTTAAGAATTCTCTCTTGGTGCCATATAATCTTTAATGTGCCCTAGCCCCCAAACATAAAAAAAAAAACAAAAAACATGACTCATAATCACAGCTAACATTATTACCTTTTTTAATCCTGCTGCAGAACCTTATTTCAATTCATTCTCAGTATCACAACAATAGAATTTGCAGGAAGGGAAACCATGGTAACCAACTAAACGTGCTACAGCAGATATCTGCTCAAAAGAACATGCAGTACCATCACACTTCAACGCCTACCGCTAGCACAATCTCTACCCATTTCCTCTTTATCCTCATCCTAATTATTAAACAAGCTCTCAACCACAAAAGGCTACATTGCAAACCATGTCGTATTGTTACTGTCATTTGCTATATGTCCTAGCATTAAGCACTGTACTACTGTTTTGCCACATTTAAAAGCAGATCTAATACCTCCAGGAGTTAATTAGGAATTTTCAGTTTTCATTCATTTGGAACATCTAATTAACAATAAAATGTATTTTGTATGTTTTATAGTCACAGAGATGTCCTGATATATATGGACACACGTGTATATCTAAAATAATCTTATGATAGTCTTTTTTTTTTTTAAACCTCAGGGATGCAAAATTTTTTCATTAGCATTCTCTGATTAATTAAATAGTAAACATTGGTGATTTCTGTTGTGCTTTTTTTTTTTTTAATAAGCTGCAAACAAATGCATTCATGATTAAGTATATGCATTAAAAATAGGGTGCCAATCTGATGCTCTCATTTGTGTTTATGTTTCACTCTGTTTCACCTGGTGTCTTAACTGATACAATTTCACTGGCCTTCTTAGGCTCTAAGCATCCATTTTATCTGAAGGACAGCTTTGAATATTTAACCAAACTCATACATTAACAAAAAAAAAAAAAATTCGTTTTCCATAACAACATACATCTACCTCCATTGCAAATTTTGAAAATTTTGTTTTCTGAAAACAAAACCTCTTTTGTTTCAAATTTTGATTTAAAAGGTACTCTACCTTAAAATCATGAAGCAAACTAACTGCACAATAATGGTCAAAAGTGGACAAAAATAGCTTATCAGATGATCAAAATGCAGCTTCTTATGTAAAAGGCAAGCAGATTTTATAGTAACTCACAGGCAACATAACTGAGAAGTTTTTTGGGGGTGAGAATCACTTGCTCTACCTTATTAAAGAAAAATAAATATTCAACATCTGAATTTTGAATTCAGTTAACCATTCCACAGCATTGCACTAAGAACATCCGACTGACTTTGTTAAGCCTGTAAAACCTATTATTTGTCCTGTCCTACATGAGATCATTTAATCTGTGCTAGGCTATGTATGTAGCTATTGCAGCTCAGGAACAAGTCCTTTAGATTTACTAACGTTAGTTCTATAAAAGCATCAGAGCCTAATGCTCCATAGTGGTCCAAAAAATCATTTGGAAAGGCTTAGAGGACAAAGAAAGAAATCTTCATAGTCCACCCTGAACAGGATGTGCAGTTCTGGTCCCCTCACCTCCAAAAGATCATCACAGAGTAAGGGAAAGGCACACAGAAAGATGAGAGAGATGATGAGAGGTATGGAACAGCCTCACTACAAAACCTGAACATATAGCCTAGGGCACACTGACCTATCAAGAGAAGAATAATGGGGACGTGACTGGCATGGAAAAAGTAAATGGGGATCAATTGTTCACTGTTTCTTGTAATACAGAAACTAGGGAGCGTCAAATGAAATTATGAGATGGAATCCACAAAAAAGGATGCTTTTCCCCATCAAGCATAGTTAAGGCATAGTTAAGGCTACAGATGCAGACAGCAAAATCTATGAGAGTTCAAAAATGCATTCAGAATGCTACTATATGAAAAAAAATTCTCTCCATCAAGACCCTGAAAGAACAGCAAATATAACAGTTCTGCTCAGAAGTCTCTGAACAGCAAATCTTCAGAGATTGAGAGGGCACAGCACACCAGATAACTACTACTATATATTCATCTTGTTTGCATGCTTTTCTTTCAACATCTGCTCTTAAAAGGTATTGGAGAGCAGATACTGGACTGGACTATATACTGTATCCAGCCCCATGTATTCATAGTCACAGAACTTGCTGATACAGGTACAAAGGTGTATAACTGGGTATAAACTCTTTGCAAACAATTAACCAGATCTCTTCTCAGATCTGCTCCATTTATGATGACTTAAGGTATCCCTTAGAATGAGCTAAAGAAGTGAAATGCAGAGCTGCGCTAGGAGCGGGATGGCACCTCAGAGAGCTTCATGCACCAACTGCAGTTGGATTCTGTGCTCTTTGGCTGTAGCTGAGCACTGCAGCTTCATGTGATTGTCCAATCTGTTCCAGATTTCACAAAAACATGTTTTCATGTCTGTGAATTCTGTCTGCCTACAAAGGAGTTATGATTCGTGGTGTTAACAGTTTATTCCCTATCTTCTAGAAAGACTAAAGCTATTTAACAAGTGGAAAACTTCAGTGCAGAGCAAAGACAATCCAAGTACTTCTGGAAGATGCCCACTGTAAGTACAGTCTAGAAGGGAGCAAGCAATTAGGATAGCGACAAAACGAGAGAAAGTGGGTGTTTTTCCCCTAATATATAGCCCTCTATGAGATGATCTTGTATCATCTCATATATGATGATGTTCTCAGTTCAGAACAAGATCAACAACCACTTTTCAAAAATGAGTTACGATTCATTAATCTCTTATCAATTTGCAGCATAGAGAATGATGCACTCAAAAATATGTTCGGATAGTCATAATAAGGAGTTCTGCCTCTATCTCTTGGTGTAGCTTGCTTTATAGCCAAGACTTTATTTGGTGTTTTTTCTAACTTCCAATTAAACTATTTCAGTAACTTTATATAGCAGATACCTGACATTGAAGTAGATTAGATATGATGTGTTACAAAATAAGTAAATCAATCAAAGAACAAACACCAAGATATTTTTGACAGCGTCAAAACCACATTCATTGGGAATATTGGTATATTCTGAGTATCTAATTCCAGGGAGAGGAAAAACGGAACCTCAGCAAAAACTCGGCCTTCAGCCAAAGGGAATGCAGACTCATGCCATACTTCCCAGCAAAGAAAAAAGAAATCTCTCTACTGCAGTTCACAGAGATCTTCCACCTGAAGTATGAAAGCAAAGAAAGACCCTCACTCATAGATGTTAAAGGCCAACAGCAAGACAACAGAGCATTACTTGCCAGGAAAAGGAAAGCAGCATTCTAGAACACAACCCTTAATAAACGTGTAATCAAGCTCAAGTAATCATGCCTGTGCTCCAATATAATGAAATGGCTACAGTGTATTGCAGGTTCAGTTTGCCAAATGCTGCACTTCTTCAGAGTAAGTAAATGACAACACCTTTGCTATCATTTCAAACTGTTTCCCAAACTGATCACCAACAGCTATACATTCTCTATTATATTGGCTGTAAAAAGAGTTTTTATGGCTTTCAAAAGGGTTTTCCAGTTTGGAAAAGATACCATCAAACCTAGAAAAGACCCGTCTTTTGTCTTGCTGGACTGGAGGAGCATTTGTAAAACAAACTACACTAGTGCATCCTGTGAGATGCTCAGCAGCTTCATCAGTCACAGGCCCAGGCCCTGTGCATTCTGCATCATCAGGAGCAAACAGCAGGAGTTCTTTGTCTCCAAGATCAGAGTTAAGACAACTGTTCTCTTTTAAGTTGTGAATGAATGTTGTAAGAGCAGAAGTAGAGGTAGTATTAGACCCTAATAAGCAATACCAGTTCATTCACATTGCTAATGCAAATCAGTATGAATGTTAATAATGTTTCTATTTGGAATCTTAATACTACAGAAACAAGTATCTTGGTACAGCATACATTTTCTTTTTTCTGAGAAAGAAAACTAACTTATGTTAACTTAGTGTTCCAGGATATTTTTATTTTAATCATAATCTTTTTTTACCTACATAGAACTTTCAATAACTGTATATTTCTCTTTCATTGTTTTCCTGTACTACTACAACTCAAAACAGAAAAAAAACACCATTTCCCATCTGACAGCTCAGACCAAAATTAAAAGTAATTAAACTATTTAAAATTTACATGTTTTAAATATGTGAATATTTATTATCTGATACTATCTGATCTACTTGCTAGAGTTTTACAGAACGAGGAAACAGATCTGCAAACACTGCTCGTTAGGAGGGGTTCAGACAAAGAATCAACTGATTTATTGGCCACTCTGTAGAGGGACTAGAAAGAACTAATTGCTCTTCAGCAACAGCTAGCTAGCAAGTAACCCACAGAGCTGACCAGTCATGGGATCTCATAGGATTCCTTCTATTTCTCAACTGCCTGCTCCCTCAGTGTCTACACATGGGGTCTCATCATGGAAAAAAGCCAAATGAAGGACAACCAGCAAAAGCACAACTGCTATTATCTTGGCAGTGCAAACAATAAGGAATGTTAGCACTTCAGAAATGGCTAAAGCACTTCAGAAGGCTAAAGATACCAAATCTTTAATAAGGGTTAAAAAAGGTTCAAGTTCATTAAATGCTTACCATGATTAAAAAAATATATTAAAAAAACATAAGGAAGTTTAAGCATTAAGGTCAACACAACAGTATAATCTTTTTTAATATTTTATAAATTTCAAAATGAAATATTAATTACCAACCTTAATGCCAAAGTGTAGGTTCCAGGTTGCCGTTGGCTTTCACGAATGAGATAGCTTCCCTCTGCAACACTTAACAACTGGTCAGCTTCCTCCCTTGAGATCATGCCATGGAATCTGAGGAACAAAGACATTTTGAAACACACACCTTTTCACTTTCAAATCACCTTTTCCTCTTTTTCCGAAAAAAGACCAACTATGGTATTTAAAAAAGAAAAACAAATGTAAAATGATTGTTTTGCAGGAACCTATACCTTAAATCAGCCTCCCTTCTCCCCATATTTGAAGTCACTTTAAATTGTTTAGGAAGGCTTCTCTTCATCTAAGAAACAAGTACATTGCTTTTACAATCTGCAACCATCAAATTCATATGTAAAAAGAAGTCCATTTTCTCCTCTTGGCTTCACATGCTTTGTGCCAGAGGCATGCAATCCAACACTTTGCAGCGTTCAGGGATATTATGGCAACTTGCTAAAATGTTAGGGATTGCACAGAATCTTAGCGATTACTGGTGTAAGAAGCTAGCAATGCCACATTATCTTCTACCAGAATATACACATCAGATCTGTTTTTTTCCCCACACTAAACCTAACCATATTTGCTGCAGCATTCTGAAGACAAATATACACGTAAATGTTATATATGTATTACATCTGTGTTTCAAATATTGTTGTTTTTTTTTTCTGTACACATACATCTTTTGCAAAAGTCAATTGGAGACAACCACCTAAAAAACAGAAACGCATCGTTTTCTCACTTAAGGTATCACTCAATAATATTTATAGCCATCAGAAAATGCCCCTGCAATTTTAGGTAGACAAAAATGCTGCAATAATAACCTGATGCTCACACAAGATACAGTGCAAGGAAATGGAGCCAAGTCCCTTGTTGCAAATGCATGAGGAGTAGCCTGGCAGAAACAACAGGGCTGAGGTGCAAACGCAGTTCTGCATTGCAGGACTGACTTTTCATGGTTTGCCCACCAAAAGGCAACTCCTGACCTTGCCATGGTCCCACACAGAGACAGCTGAGCAGCTACCAGAGCAAAGTACTGCGAAGCCACCTGCTGCGAGGGAAAGCTGCCTGTGAAAGGGAGCACTGGCGTGTCAGGCCCATGTCCCTCTTTGCAAAACAGGCTTAAGGAGCAATGTGCCCACAGCAAACACTTTCAACCTTTTCTGTAAATATTATCAACCAACATCTGGGGATAAACCACATTGAGATGTATGTTACTTACTCTCTTCCATAATATTTGGGTCTGTTCTCTACCTAGAAAAAACAAACGGAAATTGTAATGTTTCACATTGACACAGAAAGCACACTGTAACACAGAATTAGAACTAGAAAGTGAAGTACGGATCAAAATCATTTTCCACCATAGCATTTTCCATGGGAGTGGAACAGAAGGAGAGCTAAGGCTGAGCTTCGGGAGAACACCGCACTTCTGGGCGGGTTAAAAAGAGGTGAGAAAGAACGAACAGCTTGGGTTACATGGGTAGTGAGCATTGTTTGTGCAAGCTGTCAAGAAATTAAATGAAAGATTCATTTCACATAAATGTACTGCATTAAGTGCATTTACACAGTGAAACATCTACAAAACTCTTAAATGTACAGGGTATCGCCCATCATAAAGCTGTTGCTGTCTCTGCTGCGAGAAATTCAACCGCTATCGTATTCCATCAGAGTGAGGGCACGAGGCAGATTAAGGGATCATTAGCAAGTGCCTAATTATGTAGTACTAGACTTCACTGAAATGTGTGATCTGCAGTATCACCTAAAAGACCTCCACAGCATGTATGCATATGTCACGCTATGTAACAGAAGACGGTCCATGCTCCAGAGATCATACAGTGTCAGGGTGTCAGGAGACAATGTGCCTGCTATGTATTTCAGATGAAGTAATTTATTTGAAATTGTCCAGGAAGATTTCTGACACGTGTGGAACTACAGACAGAGCTCCCACAAATCAGCACAATGATCTAAACCACCAGATTATCCTTCTTTGCTAAATTTATAGGCTGAAAAATTGGGGGGAATAAAATTCGACAATTACACAACCTGAACTACAAGAGTCTAAAATGACCCAGCTATAATAAAATACAAAATACTTCCAGTAAACTGCCACTTCAGTTCCCTTTTTACATCTTTTCAAAAGATGCCTATTAAAATCAGCACTTCCCTCCAGTTATCTCAGTAGAGTATAAATAAAGATTTCAGATGTCCAAAACGTCAAAAAATATTACCCGATCTACGGTCTAATGACAACTCTTCCATACTCCCAGCAAACAAAAAGTTGTTTTGATGGTTCATCATTTTTGAAAAAACATTCAATCACTGGAAAGATTAATCATATTCTAAAATATTTCCCTTTCCCACATGAAAACAAACAAGAGTTAACCAATGGGAACTATTTTCAAAGGTCCTAAGGAGACTAGATCATTTCAAAAAAAGAAAAAAAACCCTCTTACATATTTCTGTTAAAATCAGACTAGTTAATTAACAGCAAGAAAACAATATGAAAACAGAAAAAGTGAAAGTATTATTATTATGATATAAACTTGCAACAGTTCCTATCTTTGCACAGCTACCTTTAAAACTCTCAAGAAAAGACATTATTTTTAAAAAACTGCCTGAGACTTGTGTTATGAATAAGATTTTGTTGTCTGTCTGTTGTGATTTTATATTTATCTCAGCAATACAGTGAATGTATATGATAGAACCAGAAAATAGGCAAAATCATACATTTCAGCAGTGGATTAGTAATGTGACAAGTCCCCCTCAGAATACCTGCAAATCACACGACAAATTGTAGCACTGCCCTCTGTGCAAATGACTTGAAAATGTGAATTGGCAGAAGACTGGGGCAAAGCAGCAGAGCAAAACTCCAATGGGCTCAGAGGCGATTTTAGCTTGGTTTGCAGTCCTTCTTGGTGGATGATGAGTTAAAGAGCAAAATAACTGCTTTTGTTAACATCGACTCTCTCCTGATCAGTTCTACAAACTGTGCAAAAATGTCTGTATAAATGTTGATGTGCAACATGGTTAGTTTGTATAAACCCCAGTGCAACAGGAACCCATTTCAGACTGTGGCTAAACAGAATTCACTTCGTTTTATAGCCTGGTTTTCTGTATTTTATTTTTCCATAACTTTTTTTACTTTTCATAATATTAGCTTTTTGTCACCTAGATTGAATGTATGCATTTAGATTCGAAGGCAACTCCATCTGAACTCAGCAGGGGCCTTCTCATTCACTCAGCACTAGCTGGGCTACACATGTAGTGCCGTCCACATGACCTTACAAAAACAGAGATCCTGTAGGCCAGATTTATCATGTAAGACAGTAAACACTGTGCTTCAGCTTTCTACAACACTTCCTATGAGTATCATTACACCAGCTTTACTCATACCAACTTAGGCATGAAAGAAAGTGCGCCATTTGCTCTTAGTTAACACTGCAACGTTCCTGATTTTTCACGTCTGTTTGGACTTCCTGCCACATCGTATTTCTGTAAATTACAGCTGCAGGTACCTGCATATCTTCCAGTTACACGTGAACACCAAAAACCAAAAGAAGCCAGCGCTGAAGCTTTGTTAGCTCCTGACTTTCACACTGGGTCAGCCTCAAGCTCAGGATTCAAAACCAAAACAGTCAGCTGGACTGGAACTAAAACCCACCTTAGGAAGGAAATATGTTCTGACAAAAAACAAACAAATAAACAAAAACAAACAAACAAAAAAAACCCACAAAGAAGTAGCAAGAAAGCGGTCATTTTAATTAAAGCTGTTAGCTGAAAATACAGCCCAATGTCCTCTGCAGTTTGTCTGATTTGGCAGTGCTTTTGGACCAAAGTGTTGTTGAGCATGAGTAAAAGCAGCCTTAGCTACTTCATTTACTTTGTGTGCAGCAAAGACTGGCTGAATGCTATGTCCTTGGACTTCTCAGAAATCTTTATTTATGGGAAAACAGTCCTATTGCTGTTTGTTTACCCTATGTTTGGCACAGTTTTAATATTGCTTCTTACTTAGAAGAAAAAAAAAAGCCCTTATTCACAGGGCCTCACAGAGTTATTGGAAATTTCATCTGCATGTCAGATGGGAAGTAGCTGCATTAATTGTGAGATACTGGCTTTCAATTTGTTATTTGTGTTGTACATGCACTGAGGCCACAGAGAAGTTTCAGACCTCACTGTGATACCTGCAAGAAACACAAAGGTGAATGAAGTTATCCACCATTGCTTTATTTCTGATTTTTTTTTTCCCTCACCAACTGAGGTAAAGCCAATAAAACCAAGTGAATAAACAGACAAATGGGTGAGACTTGGCAAGCACCTTACAGTAACCATTCCTTTGGAAAAGAGTCTCCTTACCATGAAGGCTGGGACGCTGTTCTGGATGAATGTGACATAGATTAAGCCATCTCTGCAAATAGCTCTAACAACAATGTGTATTATATATGTCCAAGCTCTGCCATGCTTCTTGACCGTTCACAGAGGCCATTTTCTCGGGCTATGCAGAGATGCCGTTTAACAGCTTGTTAACTGCTTGCACTGGATCATGATGAAGCCTTGTTACAGGGCAGGAAAGGGCAGTGATTTTAATTGCCTCCATCATTGGACTGTTTGATATTTTTTCCACGCATAATTATTTAAAATTTATCATGGAATGCCTTCAGATGACGGGCAAGGATACCCTCAATGTGCCTGCATGTGCACAGGTGTGTGTATATAAAAGATTGTATGTACAACAAACAGAAATCCCAGGGAGGCAATACAAGATTAACTGGACAAATGGCATCACAATATTGATGCAAGTCTCACACAGAAATCCAATGCACTTCAAAGTTGATGATTCCATAACATTTTAAGTTTACAAATGAGCATTATGTAGTGTTAAAAGCCTTGGCTCCACTGCATGTTCACAATAAAAAATTCCCAGTGGATGCACTGTTCTTTCTAGCTCGGTGTACCTCCTCTGAACTGCATGTTGCTCTGATACAAAACTGGTGTAGCAGAGCAGAAACTCAAATTCTCTGTATTTGAGCATTTCATGTTAAGTAGGTCATTCTGCTGAATATACCTCCCAGTATCAGCACTCGTACACCACGTGCCTTTGCACCTAAAATAAAAGACTGTGTGGTTTTTCTTTTTTGCTGTTGTTTTTTACATTGTAACTTCCAACTATTCTTTAACAAGTGCTTTTTCCTCTAATCATCACTCTCACTCTTGCTTATTTCAATAACTGGAATACAATAACGCAAGGGGAGCAATTTAGGTGCTAATATCTTACCAAATTACATGTTGCTCCCTCCCACTGACCTCTTTGATGTTCTCTAGGCCAAAATTCTCGTCCTAATATTTATGAATTTGTTTATACAGCTGGATAATTCAACCACTTAGGAAAAGACTCTGCTCCCCACTGACTCATGCATGGCTGCTAATAGAAACCCAGCTGAGAAAGAGCAGATCACAAAGCTCAGCACTAGCAGGAGAGGCTGAGACCACAGAGAAAGGTTAAACATGTTACTGCTCACTGAATATATTTTCACATCAAATCTGAAGCAGCTGCATAAATTGTTCAGTATTTATAACGAAAAACACTTATCTGCATTGTAATGTATTATTTCAATTTTACCTTTATTAGGTAAAAATAAGCTTCAAAGACTTTTTATATAAAGGGATACTTTAATGAGAAAACGTGTACTTAGTATGTTCTGTTCTGCAGCAAAATGTTCTGTAGCTATCTGCAACTGACTGATTTTTTCCACGGCTCTTTTACTTAGTCCAATTCTTACTAATTTCTAAACCCTGTGAACCACCCCTATCATACCTGACAAATTTTATTTTTTATAATTATCAATATTGAAATTAAGATGAGAGAATTACAGCGGTCAGTGTAACTTGTATGTGAAGCAGCTTTATACAGATGTTTTTGTATTTGCCTGACATAAATGGGTCTCTTGTTTGATTCTAAAAAGAGGGCAACCTGGATCTGATGAACAGCTGAAGGATCTCCATCAGTCCAGAGGGAGGAAACATTTTTAATATGCCAATACTACATATACACATTTATATCTCTGCTTATTTGCCTGGATAGGCTAATAGTATTCTAAGAATACTATGATGGAGAACTCAGTATAAAATCTGCTTGTGATTTTGTATTGCCCAGGGCAAGAAGACCTCAGAACAACTCTCTGCAGTTAAACTAGTCTGGGATAAAATGGCAAGAGATCTTATTAGATATGCTGGATGCTTCTATCATTTTACAGTTTCTCCCTGAATGTCAGGGACATATGCATTGTGCTAGGCAATAATTACAATCATGATGTTATCTGCTGTGAGATTTCCTTAGTACAAAACTACTGATATTTTCCCACCCCTTACATTTCTTTCTGTTATTTTTTTTAAAGAAGCCAAAAAGAATATAGAAAATATGAAGATTCTAATTCTGTAAGCATTAAAACCATCACACCTGCAGCTCTCAAAGCATCTAACTGAAGAAACTGAAGAATAGCTGCTGGGCAGAGGGCCCAGCAGAGGGCCCAGGCAACTTTATGAGCATACATTATAAGAAAGGCTGTTGTTACATGAGTAAATAACAGCAGAGCTTTGAGATAAGACTCAGCAAACAAAAGACTGCAGTGATTGCAAAGGCATAGCATCAGCACCTCACAAGGAACAGCATGAGAAGACTACCAAAAATCCTTCACACATTGTATGTATGTGCATACATACATGTGCCTACACACATACTAGCACGTTTTCCACCAGTGAAATACTTCTGGAGAGAGGAAAGAAAAAGCAGCTATTCAACAACACTTAACAACACTAAACACATGGGAGGCAGGGAGTTAAGAACTTCATCCTAGCCAGGTGAGCACAGGCACGATGGACTACAAAGGTAGGTTGCCATCCAATCGAGCCACAACAGGCTGGTAGGGCTCTCAGCACTCTATTTTCTGTCAACATTTATGTAACAGTTGTCCTCTGAAACATCCTTCTGCTTTTTGAGAAAAAGTGCAAGAGGGAAAAGTGGGTGAAGAATGACAATATGGGTCATAATACAGGAAAAGAAGAAAAAAAGAGAGAAATAGAAAATTATGCCCCCCTCAACAGTGTGCAAGGTTCCAGCTGGCATGGGGTCCACGTCCATTTTGCCCAGCGGTTGGCCTGGACACGATAAGATACAACAAAGCTTGCGAACAGATTGGCCATGAATAGTCCCACTGAAGTCAATGGGAAAATCTCCATTCGTGCCAAGTTATTACTCTCAAACTGGAAATATTCCTGCTGCTAAAAGTGGACATTCAGCCCCCTTAGAATTACAAGCCTGTATTACAAGACTTCAAGTATTTTGTATAGTAATGTAATGGAAAACCCTAACAGAAAGAACACACAAAATAGTAAAGAACCTTCCTAATAACATCGCAATGAGAGTAAACAAAACTTTTTTCACAGCTCAAATCTTCTACAGATCTCTTCTTCAAACCTCCCTCCCACCTTATTTGATGTACAAAAGATACCTGCTCAACAACCTTGCAGGATTCTCTCTGTTTGGACACTCATTAGCAATGGAAACATAGGTTAAAGGGAAACTTTTTGCTACAATGCTTCTTGTAAAATTAACGTATTATTCTTTCCTACAGCTATGTCTTGCTTAAGTGCAACCAGCTGTTATTACAACTTTTATAAAAATACAAATCCATCAAATTAATAGAAGACATGAGATGAGTGCTTCCTCTAAATGAAAAATTTCATTTCTGTTAAATCTCTACCTCTTATCTTAAAAATTGACAGACTACTTCATAGAATCACAATTGGGCATTTAGAAAGATGACAGCAAAACACCTGTTTAATTGTGTATAGTAATCCTCTTTTTGATCTAAACTGTAAGCTATTAGTGTTCCTGACAGTGCTATGCCCCTCTATATTTAATACTACGTCAAAACGACTAACATATTTCAAGGATTAATTCCCCTTCTCTTGGCACATGATAAAAATGCTCAAGTTTTATTGCAGCGATGTAATAACTTCCAGTGGTTATGAAGATGTGGTTCGTAATGCTGTTTGACATGTTGAACCAAACGTTTTGGCATTTTTGTAACTGAAATTAATATTTTCCAGGTTTGTAACTGAAGCTGCATGAGAGATGCAGTTCTGAGCAGATATTTGCTGGCAGGGGTATTTGGTACCAATGGCACCTACCAGCACGACAACCCCAAAAAGGTGTGGGTCTGCTGCAACACTGTGCATGGTACGCTGGCCATTCGGGGTCTGCCTCAGCACCTGGCCCCATGAGCATCTCATTTTTACAAATCTCAGTGATTTGTATCGCTGCATCTCAACAGGGTTCCATTGTTTCTGTGTGGATCCTTAAAAGCTGTAGCTGGGCATAGTTTAGCTACTAGAATTAATGAGTTGTTAGTACTAAGACTCAAATAAGAGTGAGAGGAGGTTTCAGTCTTCTGCCTGCTGATTTATTGCAGGCATCTAGCAGCAATGTGTGTAACAACAGGTGCGTGTTCCCCCTCTACAGCTCTGTTCTTCTGGGAATTTCTGTCCCCAAAAGGAAGAGAAAAGGCATGTTTCCATTTATGTAGGAATAAGTTAAAAACTGGCAAATGATTCTCAGGTATATACAGCAAACTCAAAATGTATTTTAATTCTATTTTTAGTTTAAGTGGCTTTCCATGCACCACTGACCCCAAGGCTACTTACTCCAATCACAGCGCCATACAGCACTATGGAAGCACTGTTTGGGTTGCACAACACTGAGAAGAGATTTGGAATTACTGGGCTCTATAAAACAAAATGTTTTATAATACCTACCTCGCAAGTGCAGGTAATCCTTCTAGGATGGGGAGCTTCCTGTTGCAACTGATACACTAAGAAAAGAAAAAAGTTAAATTTTGATTAATACAGAATCACTACATCAATTAGGCATTTTAACATTACATTTTTCTGGTTAAGAAAAGGAAGACTTGCTGCAAGATTTAAATACAAATGTACATATATCAAGGTCTCAAAAATTACTTACAAGATGTCAGAAAAGAGAATGTTCTCAGCCAAATCAGGATTATTGATTATTTTTATGATTAACTGCTCAAGCACTAGGGAGTCTCTGTCCAACCTTCCATCAAGCAGATCAGAAAAGGAATTAGGATAAATGCAAATTAAAATTTATTATATGTCAAATCAGGCAGATAGCAGATTTTTTTCAGTAAGCGGATGGAGTCCCATCTTACTATGCTGGGCACACTTTTGGTGACCTGATATATGAGAGCTTACAGGAGTCATTCAGAACTTTGCACAAACCCTCTGCTTGTCTCACTACTCAGTGATGACCTTTCTGAACAACAACAACAACAAAAAATAGACCTTTGCATTTACAGATCTAACAACATCAGGAGTCCAGTAGTAGTTAAGGTCCAAATTACGACCTAAACTTATCGCTATCTTCCAAACTTTCTTTCTTCCTTTAATATAAGCCTTATTAAACCAGTATAATTCATAGGAGCTAGCTGTAAATTTAATGGTATTAATGTATGGACTTTCTTGTTTAGTAAGCAGATGGAGTGACTTCTGACTCCCAAAACAAAAAGAGCAAACAAGAGTTTGACAAGTCACCTATAAAACAAGGTTATCAACACCAAATTAGTAATTGAATAGTACTCTAGAACAAATAAAACGGACATTTGGAACTGTAATCTTTTAAAATTCAATTGTCTTTCAAACATTAGTACTAACACCAAGGTCTAACAATGTGTGCTGTCACCTTCTTCAGGTAATAAAACCACACATTAACTTACCCAGTAAGATTTGACTTCGTTACACTTCTCATTTGATGATGAGTCTTCTCCATGGAGAAATACATTATTTATGTGCTAAATTACATGAGAATGGAAAAAATGGCAAAATGCCCAATGATATGGCAATCACAAGATCGACTGGAAAAATTTACTCCCTTTGTTCCAAATAAAAAAGCCAATGTTTTTTCCTGATGTTACTAAAATCAATCCTGACCATTCTCTATTGGTATTACAAAAATGATTTTTGCAAGTGATGAAAAACAGCATACACATATAAAATAGCAATCTTCATTTCAAGCATAGCATGACCATTTATTTGCCTAGCGCACAGATCCTTTAGCTTCCATTGTAAAAGCCCTATTTGATGGCGCTGGCCCTTGTCCATGTCCAATTCTGAGAACTGGAGAGTCAAGTTCAAATGAAAAAAGAAATTCACAAAGCGTACATGGATCTCTCTGTGATTCTCCAGTGCTCTTCTGTGAAACTCAATCAGCATGCTCTGTAGAAATTGGCTAGAAATTGAGAATTGTTTCCCACCTTACTTCAAGCAAGGTTGAAAAGATTTTTCTGGAAGGAAATTCCTCTTCTTAGAAGACTATACCTTTTGTCCTCTTCCAGTCAGAAGCACAGCAGGTAGACCCGTTAAGTGACAAAACAGGATGCCTATTCCATCTCCTCTAATTGGTGTGTGCACTTCAATCTGTTCAACACCAGTTCCTTTGCTGCACTTATCACCAGGGAAGTCAAACAAGCCATTCCTCTTGAGCAGTCAGGAGACAGAAATACGAGCAAACCCTATGACCGCACGCTCCATTCTGAGCTGAGGAAAGGCTCACCGTGGTGAACCACAACCGTGCAGGAGAGTTGGTGCACACATGTTGCACGGACCCAAGCCTTCAGCTCCTGGCAAGCTACCAGTGAAGTTCTGGTATTAACAAATCTGGACTCCCCTACTCCTGATCATGGCAGGGAACGAACTGCCCAGGCAGGCAGCATTCCCTGAGCTCAGGCAAGGTACAGAACTGTGACTCATATCCAAAAGCGAAACACACAGAACTCGGTAACAAGCACAAAAACACGTTGCAGTCATGAGTGATGACATTTAATGCCAGGGAGCAAAGTGTCTCAATTTTATCTTTTAGCCATCCACTGCAAGAAAAGAGCTTGCTCAAGTCAAATTCTTTACTGCTAAGCGGCTGATGTGGCACATGACAAGCTGCTGGTGCTACACATGGTGATTCAAAAGGCACAGACAGGCCTTGCCACTAGATTCGTGGATTCAGGCCCCAGCCATCTCTGTTACATGACAGTTGGTAGGAAACCACGTCCTTCTTGTCAGGCCTTCAGAAAACCTAATTTTGGTTTCACGGTCACTCTGGGCCACGCAAATGCTCTCATTTTACTGCATCAGCAAGTTCTGAGGAAAAATCATTTCTGAGTTCTCCTAACCAGTTCCAGTCTCAACTCTAGCGATGCAAGTTACTAACGCAGAGGAGCCCTAAAAGTTTACCAGTGTAACCTTAAGGCAAGAACAGAGTTTGTTCAAGCCCCAGCCTAGGCAGCCCCACCAACACTAGCCAGCCCCAAACAGGAGCATGATCCCTTGTGTCAGTGAGGTGCAGGGAACCTGCCCCCATTGAATAACCTGCATTTGTTAGCCTTGAGGATAAACAGCTGCATCTCTCTCTAATAGCAATGAATGCTTGTAAAATCACATTTTAAAGAAAATAAAAATGAGCCTTTTTTTTTTTTTTAAAAAAAAAAAAGCATCCCACTGAAACTTTTTTTAGCACTGACTTAGAGAAGAAAAAAACAAACAAACAAAAATTCGCTTAAGATACTTACAGTAAGATTTCCAAACCGGTGGTCTGTATTCATCAGTATCTGAAAAGACAATGTCAATTTTCAGTGTTGCGTTAGAAACATTTTAACATAGACACAACCCTCCAGAAGCCCTTGCAGATTTATTATGATAAATATTGCCCCTAAATTGTATAACCATTTTTACTAATGAAGTACAGAGCAACCTATTAAAAGTTCCCCTTCCTTACTTAAACAGAATACATGAAAACATATTTTCTTAGAAAACCATTTGCAAAATGACAAGCATGCAGACGAGAAGCCAAATGATTGGAGGAGGCAGGTAATGCGTATTATTTTATTACATACATATTTTCAGACCCTTTTTAAGTTACACTAGAAAGATTTTTAAATCTCAGTTCACACTCTAACAAATCAGTCTTCATCCAACTCCCGCCATTAGCTTTTTCCTATTCTGGATAGCAATTAACAACCCCTAAAAACAAAACCCGGGCATGGAAATACTATGCAATGTTTTGCAAAAAAGGAGGGAGCTTTTCACACTGAATATACACTCTGCCTGGAAGCGGTCAGTGGGTATTAAAAGTAACAGTATATTTCTAATCCATAGTTTTACTACTCAAAAAATAAAGAGCCAACAGTGTTTTCTGTCTCCCTTATGAATTGCTGACAAGTGATCTGACATATTTGCTCAGGGCTCTGTCACAAACTCAATCTCTGATCCACTCTTTGACTTCAACCAGCTTCAGGTCTGATTCTGCAAGGTACTGAGGCTTTCTGCAGGGTGCTGAGCTTATCTGTTACCTGCCCTGAAGCAGACAGAGTTACTCAGCTCTCCCTGTATGAAAAAGCCCAGAGCTGCAGCAGCCTGGCAGCCAGGCACCAGCCTGGCTATAGGAACTCTCTTCTCACCGAGGTCTTCAGTTCTGAGCTCTCCCTGCAACTGCCTTCTGCCTCCATACAACACCGATTTGTACTTTTTGCTGTGAGGTTATATACATATCTAGCAATCTGGGGACCTGTTCTTTAATTTCAGCCTCTGTGACATCTCCATTCCAGCATCCCTAATGCCTCCAAAACCAAGCCTGAAGCTGGGAAAGGCTTTTACTCTGCCACCCCTCTGGGTAAAGCAATCTGCCCTCAAGTTCTTGCCTTAGCCCGTCTCTCCCACCTCCAGTCATGTCCAAATCTCTCTAAATCAGAGCTCAGCGGAAGGAGATATTTTCCAGTTTAATTGGCACAGACCCTCCCCAGGCCCACCCCAGCATGCTCGCTAACCTGTCTGAGCTAGCATTTTGCTTGACTTTTTACCCTGTTATTTCAGTGGTGAATGGAGAAGGTGCAGTCCTTGCGGACTGTCTCGGCGTTAGCAGGGTTTATAAATACAATTCACTATTACTTTAGCATTAAGGCAGCACTTGGTCAAACTGCCATTGCCCAGAACATTATTTTTTGACCTTTGGAAGGCCCTGCAGATGTGCCGCCGTGTCCTGGGGACCTGGCACACACAGAGATCTTCAGCTGCCCACACTATGCTAGGTCAGTGGCAGAAAATCAGAAGCAACAGATGCAGCAGTGGTTACTCACTCCTACTTGGATATTTTTAATTAAAGCAGAGCAAGTAGATTCATTTCAGAAGCATTACAATGTAATCCCTTTGCACTGTAGTGTCACATGGAAAAATGGCAAAACTTAAAAGTAAAAGTAATGGGTTTAGTCCCAGAAGAGGATTCTTACCCCACCAGCTGAATTCCCTTTTGCTATGGCTTATTTTTGGCAACGTAGGCACTGGTTGGATTTACAAATAAATAACTTAAGTGAAGGACAACATGCACCGTATTTGTAAAGTATGAGCTGACTGCTATGAAAATACAAATATCTTGGCAGTCTAACCTGTATTTGCTTGCACTCAAGCCATATAACTGTTACGGCTAAAGGCAGCATGATTATAAAACTGAGAAGCAACAATATTTGTGCCAAACAAAAACAAAAACCAAAAAACAAAACCCAAACCTTGTTAAAGTCAGGCAAGAACAGCAGTAACTTCCATATAACTAACATGTAACATTCAGAAACGGGAAGGAATGATTTATGTTATGCAGCTGTGCACCAGTATTTTGTTAGAAAATCTGTCTGTAAGCTTTACTGCTTTACCAGTGTTAGAATACCCCCAGGCCATCCCACATGAGCTAATGAAAATACAAAAGGTCATTTCTATTGTGATTTTAAAAAAATGTTATCTGATACAAACACTGTAGCAGCAAGTACAGGGTGCAGCAACAACGGCAAAGGAAGGGTTTGCAGCACTCCTTTCTGAGCAAGGATGTTTCTAGTACCCGAATCGCTCTGCTACACAACGATAAAATAAAATGAGTATATGCACTGGATTGGTCTGTTAACTACCTGTTTTTAAAGACTAATTGATATGGTCCTGTCTGCCAAGTCATCAGCATTTGGAAATGTTATTATTATGATTTTCAGACAGTACAGGCTTCTGTGTACAGCATCTCCAATTAGGCGTCCGAAGTACCCGAAAAGCACTTTAAGGCATGATTAAAAAAAACAAAGACACTGAACCCAAAATACGTTTTCTCACTAATGCTGCACCACCTCCTAATTAACACAATAAACCCCACACTGACGTTTCTCAAATTTTTATACAGTTCCCATCAGCACAGTATCTCAGCTCTGCTAATATTTCCATGATAAAATTGAATAATTTTCGTTGAGATGTGCATAGCGTTTTATCTTAACTGTGCTTTCTGCCTTAAATGAGATGCAATTCAACTTAAAGCTGCTCTTCTCCAGCAGTCTGGAGCACTGCAGAAGACATAAATGCATAAACCGATGCTACCAGCTCTGCCCAGATGTGATCCTACCGGTATTGGTGAGAATTCTGCCAGCACGAGGGCCGCTCTCACCAGCGAGGACATTTTCAGATCAGACACATTGTCTGTGTACAGAAATGGCAGTTTCAAACTTAAGGTGGCAGGTGCCGGAGCTGAACAATCTTCACAAGATTTAAAAATCAAAATGTTTGATAATTTCCTGCCATCCCAAGCAATGACAGCTCTTGGATTCTTCAGAACTTTGCTTCTTTTAGAAGGGTGGAAGATTTTAGTTTTATATAATAGGACTTCTTCAAGTTCTCTACCCTGAATCCATACTGATCTTTAATAATTTCCCAGCCTAGAATAGATCAGAAAAGAAACAGCTGCCTGCCCCAAACCTGTACTTTTAAGTTCCTCAGAGGACCATCAGAGAATAAATGTATATGTATATGTATATGTAAAGAAAAGAGTAAGAATATGTTAAATTGATAAAAGAAGTTTAAATCCTAAAGCAATAGGCAAGGTAAAAGGGTACAGGGAAATAATGCTGCAGGACATGTGAAAGTAAATGCAGAGTCCTTTACCCTGTAGATTGATTTTTACTCTTGAGTCAACAGCAAAATCACACTACTCTGCAAAGCGAGCACATCACCGCAGACCTGTAACAGCTGGTGAGTCCAGACAGCAGGAGCTCACTGCGGTGCCTCTGGTTTGGACAAGGACCTACACCCCTGTGCAACTGCGTCATGCTGTCTGTCTCCGCTTCTGTGCATGGGTTGCCGGCCCCCCACCCTCTCTCCAGTGGAGAAGGACAGCAGAGATCGCTGCCTATTTCTGCTGCCCTGTTACGACTCACCTAGGCAGCCCGCTCTGCCTGCTCAGCATCTTGTCTCACCTCTACTCAAGGCTTCCCTGAAATTTGCCTAAAGTCAGGCAAATAGAAGGGAGGCAGAAGAAGCCAGAGCACCCAGGCAGCAGACCCTTCACAGGCAGAAATGTCTCAGTGGGACAGAAGAATTGCTGTATGGGCCCGGCTTACCCTCCCTGAAGCACACCCACTAATGACAGAAAAAGGGAACTACCCAAACTCATGCATGACACACCTGCAATTCAGAAGTGAAAAGCACAAGATGACTGTCAGAAATCTGTGCTTGCACTAGAAAAGTGTTTCTGCCAACAGAAAAACATGCAGCAACTTAGGAGAAGTTCATACACAGACACCAATGCCCTGAAAGCATCTCTTGATTTTTCCATAAACACAGATATGACTAATTGCAACACTACTACATAGCATTTCCCTTCATTATTTTGCTCTTTCTTACCCACTGCCATTTTATCCATTTATATAATCTGGACAACTTTAGTACTTTCCAAGTGCACGTTTTAACTGTAGAAATGAAAACTGTTACTATTGCCTCAAACTGTTTAGACTGCTTGTCTCTGTGTATTCCTTTTATAGACAGAATAAAAGTGTTTACCTCTGCTTGAAATGGTTCTTGCTGCCTCCCCACTGCAGAGCAGCCAGCTCTAGGGCAGAGCAGCAGCAGCGTAACCATGCGTGGTAACCCCATGAAGCAGCTGAGGGCTTACCGTGAGGTTTGCTATAGGGAACTCGGTTTTGTTTTTCTTTTACCGCATGTCATTCCCTGCAGCATGCTGATCCGTAACATCATGCTGGAAATTAGTTTAATGCTGTCTGGAAGGAAATAACCAGCTCACTGCTGGCACAGCAGCTCTTGACCCAAACCCAGGTTGTATTCAGCAATATCCCTGTCAGACACTGGTGAGGCCTCCCTCAAATGGCAAACCTTGTGGAAGAGGGCGATCCTTAGCTATGGGGACCAAACCTCAGCACAATCAGGAGAAGTAAATCTAATTTCACATTTTCTGAACAGCTATAGGACCAAAGAATGGTGTAAGTGATAAATAGGAAAAGATGCAAGTATAAAACCTTCTTCTGTATGCTACGGCCTAATAAGTATTAGCATGTGTTTTTAGATGCTGTATCTTGCTTTATTTGGCAGCAGCATTCATCAAATTTGAACTCCCGGAGAGATGGATGACAAGCAGTCATGGCCATTTGCTGACCCATACAACAGACTCCTTCTTGTGCCCAAAAAACAACTTCTGGAAAATCCCTCCCCACGCTCAAAATGTTGCTTATTAGCACCTTCTATATGCCCAAAGGGCTCACATAAGAGCACTTGACTTACAGAAACAAAACTATAATTT